GCAATAAAATCCTTTAAAAACATTTGAACAAATCTTAATGATATGGAGAAAATGAAATAAGAGGGAACATTTCACAATTCTACACACACACACTGCCAGTCAAAAGGTTTGGGGTCGGTATGATTTTTAAATGTTTTAAAATAAGCTTCTCCTGCTCAGCAAGGCTGCATTTATTTATAAAAAATACAGTACAAATTGTACAATTGTCAAATGTTATTGCACTAGAAAATAACTATTTAAAGTGGTGTATCATTTAGTTTAATAATTTATTCCAGTGATATTATTGATGAATTTTCAGCTTCGTTACTCCAGTTTTCAGAGTCACATGATCCTTCAGAAATCCCTCTATTATTATTATTATTATTATTACTACTACTATTATTATTATTGTTGTTATTATTATTATTATTATTATTATTGTTATTATTATTATTAATAATAATAATAATAATAATGGTAATATTAATTGAAGCAATTATGACTTGAATAATAATTTCATTTAAAACTACATGCAATAAGTAATAATTAAATATTTAATAAATATGTATTTAACAGTTTGAAAAAAATCATTTAATAAATGCCGCTTTGATAAACAGAACAACAACAACAATAATAATAATAATAATAATAATAATAATAATAATAATAATAATAATAATAATAATAATAATAATAAAAACTGACCCCAAACCTTTGACCGGTAGTGAAGTTATGTTTTAAGTAAAATGTATTTTTTGTTTTATTCTGTTGTACAGATGACATTTCATCCAAATGTGAAATAAATGTAATTTAGAGCATTTTTCTGCATTAAAATAATAATATATGTAACATTTGTTTTTATCAATCTTTGGACAGCCTAACACCATTGTTTTTTTAAATCAACATTTGATCAAATAAATCTGATCACGACAAAATTAAGCATTTGTTATTGTGATGAATATTATTTTTTCTAGAATTTAAGATAAAAAAGAAATGCAAAAGTTAATATTTATATTTAGAAATTATGAAGAAATGTTGTCAGACTTTCATAGGATGAAACAAAAATTAAATAAAATATGAATAAGTAACATACTTTATTCAAACCTACGAGTAAATCGAGAAATTTTCTCAAATAATATAGCCTACACTGACATTCATGTTAAGATGGTCATCTTCTCCCTACTGCAGATTTAGTAGATATCCATCAGTTCTGTTCATCTCTTATTACATCTGCAATATTAGTAAATCTACTGTATGACACTCAGCCAGATGATGGGCGAAACAAAGTGGTGACGTCAGCCTGACGAGGCGGGGAGATTTTCAGTCAATTGTGTGTGATTTGCGGGTCGATCAGGAAGCGGGGGGTTGCAGCCGGCCGCTCGGTCCTCCTCCCGCATATAAATTCTCCAACCAAAGCGTTTTTCTTCCTCTTTCTGTTACCTGGCAAAGGGGAGCAGCAGCTGAGGAGTGATCTCTCAATCTTGGTGAGTACTATAGGCTAGGCCTTGGCTTTTTAATTCTTGTATCGATAACTTTAATGCGTATATTGAGGCTTTTCTTCACGGTGGCGGATGTTTTTATGACATTTTCACGCGGCGGTTTGTTATCCGGCGAGCTTTTGTCAGTTATTTTATGTTCGGTTTTCTATGTGGCTTGAATGTCTTTCTTAAATGTTTTATTTTAATAAGTAGTGTTTTAAAGTTGACTTTGTTGTCTCTTTATATTTCTGCTGTTTCCGTTATTTTGTGTGTGAAATGAGCACCGGGAAAAGAACAAAGGCACAAGCGGTTTGAAGTCACGGGTCCGTTAAAAGCCTATCACACATTCCCGCATCCAGCAACTGTTACAAGTGGCCGGAGAGCCAGATGTCTGCCTCAGTTTGGATTCCGTTCAGACATTTCTGTTTTTTTTTAATCATCCTGTAACATAACACCGTCTTACTCTAAAGAAACACGTGTCGCAGCTGCCTTATGGTGAACTAGGCCGGTTCAAACTCTGGGCCATCTTGTCACTTGTGTTACGAAATCACCGCTCAAAAGTTTTAATAATGAGAAATATGTATTTTTGTGGTCCATCATTAACTTTCACATTTTATCTTGGTCCGCAGAAACTTATCAATCATGGGAAAGGAAAAGACCCACATTAACATCGTGGTTATTGGCCACGTCGACTCCGGAAAGTCCACCACCACCGGCCATCTGATCTACAAATGCGGTGGAATCGACAAGAGAACCATCGAGAAGTTCGAGAAGGAAGCCGCTGAGGTAAGCGTTCAACCGGTTGGATTTATTCTTAATCAATTTATGCGCTTCAAATGCGGCACAGTTCTGTAACGAGAGCCAAAATGGCGGCGCAGCACGCGTTTCTCGGCTCAAGCCGGCTGGGTGTGGAGTGGGCGGGGTTTACGCGGCACTCTCGATGACGTAGCAATTTCTGTAATGGCGCCTAGTAGGCCGCAACATGTGCACTTTAATCAATTCAGTATTTCAAGCACTGTAGCTTAAACTTTGCAAAACACTTTAAAGATTTAATAATGATTTGACATTTATTTAAAATGTAATTTTTTTTTTGTTAATCAGATGGGCAAGGGCTCCTTCAAGTACGCCTGGGTGTTGGACAAACTGAAGGCCGAGCGTGAGCGTGGTATCACCATTGACATTGCTCTCTGGAAATTCGAGACCAGCAAATACTACGTCACCATCATTGATGCCCCTGGACACAGAGACTTCATCAAGAACATGATCACTGGTACTTCTCAGGTATGTCTACAACTGTGATTTAAGAAACAAAGTTGGTCTAACTTGACTATAGTTGATTTTAAACCATCACTGTTCTCCTCCTCTAGGCTGACTGTGCTGTGCTGATTGTTGCTGGTGGTGTTGGTGAGTTTGAGGCTGGTATCTCCAAGAACGGACAGACCCGTGAGCACGCCCTCCTGGCTTTCACCCTGGGAGTGAAACAGCTGATCGTTGGAGTCAACAAGATGGACTCCACTGAGCCCCCTTACAGCCAGGCTCGTTTTGAGGAAATCACCAAGGAAGTCAGCGCATACATCAAGAAGATCGGCTACAACCCTGCCAGTGTTGCCTTCGTCCCAATTTCAGGATGGCACGGTGACAACATGCTGGAGGCCAGCTCAAACGTACGTTTTCTATGCAATAGGCTTTCTAATAATAGTGTTTAATATGCGTGTTTCCACTCGCTGACCATGCTTGTTTTGCTTCAATAGATGGGCTGGTTCAAGGGATGGAAGATTGAGCGCAAGGAGGGTAATGCTAGCGGTACTACTCTTCTTGATGCCCTTGATGCCATTCTGCCCCCTAGCCGTCCCACCGACAAGCCCCTCCGTCTGCCACTTCAGGATGTGTACAAAATTGGAGGTTTGTATTCTAATTGGGTTACGTTGTACTTGGTTACCTGAAATTGACTCTGAAGTGGTTCTCTTTGAGTTGCTTAATACTTTAAAGCCATTTCAAAGAGCTGAGAACCCATACCCATTGACTAACATAGCATAGAAAGCCAATATTATTGTATTCAATATTGTAAACTACTATTGGTCACCCTGTTTATAATCCATAACAAAGGTATTAAATCAAGAGAAGGTTTAGTAAATGACCCTTTTATAGGGGTTAAATGTCCCTTTTTAATCTGAATGCTTAAATTTTAACCTAATAATTGTCCAGGTATTGGAACTGTACCTGTGGGTCGTGTGGAGACTGGTGTCCTCAAGCCTGGTATGGTTGTGACCTTCGCCCCTGCCAATGTAACCACTGAGGTCAAGTCTGTTGAGATGCACCACGAGTCTCTGACTGAGGCCACTCCTGGTGACAACGTTGGCTTCAACGTTAAGAACGTGTCTGTCAAGGACATCCGTCGTGGTAATGTGGCTGGAGACAGCAAGAACGACCCACCCATGGAGGCTGCCAACTTCAACGCTCAGGTTAGGCCTTCATCCATTTCCCCAATTATGCTTCATGGTGGTTGAATTCCCTTTTGCTAACTCAAGTTGTGTTCTAGGTCATCATCCTGAACCACCCTGGTCAGATCTCTCAGGGTTACGCCCCAGTGCTGGATTGCCACACTGCTCACATCGCCTGCAAGTTTGCTGAGCTCAAGGAGAAGATCGACCGTCGTTCTGGCAAGAAGCTTGAAGACAACCCCAAGGCTCTCAAATCCGGAGATGCTGCCATTGTCGAGATGGTCCCTGGCAAGCCCATGTGTGTGGAGAGCTTCTCTACCTACCCTCCTCTTGGTAAGCTTCCATTACAAGCTAACAAATGTCAAAAATAGCCTTGCATTCGTGCTGAAGTACTAATCATCCTCCCTCTGCAGGTCGCTTTGCTGTGCGTGACATGAGGCAGACCGTTGCTGTCGGCGTCATCAAGAGCGTTGAGAAGAAAATCGGTGGTGCTGGCAAGGTCACAAAGTCTGCACAGAAGGCTGCCAAGACCAAGTGAATTTCCCTCAATCACACCGTTCCAAAGGTTGCGGCGTGTTCTTCCCAACCTCTTGGAATTTCTCTAAACCTGGGCACTCTACTTAAGGACTGGATAATGCTGATTAAAACCCATCGGAAAAATTTTCGCAGGAAAGGAAAACAACTTGGATTTAAGTGTGGCTCCATTTATTGACTGATAGTGCCTCTTTCAGTTATTAAATTTGTGTTTTGATGGTTTAGAACTGCACCTGTTGCCACAGTACAATTTGGAAACGCTGATGAATAAACTAATAAAGGTATTAAAAATTGAAGATATGCTTTCTTGTTTTTAATGGGTGGGATTTGGGATGGGAATCGTAATGTGATTTGTCAGTCCTTGCAGCTGTTGTAACACGTATTGCTGCTGGGTTGCTCCTATACACAGCCTGCTGTACTAATGTGTCTATCCAATCGCAAATAGTGAGTGCGATGTAAAGCTACCAATGATACCCCCTCATCTTGCAGTATCTATGTGGTCCAAGTGTTTTTCATATCCCACCCCTGTCTGAACTGGTATAAATTTAGACGGTCGGCGTGACTCGTTCCTTTTTCTCCAGTCTGCTCGGGGCTGTCTGTAGTGCTTTTTAGCCAGGTAAGAATATTACTGCCTTATTTCATTCAGTTGTGCAATTTTTAGTGAGCCTTCCAAATCTGGACTATAATACTTGTTAGTTTTGGCTGGAGAGAAAAAAAAAATATGCACAAGACCAGAATTCACTCCATTGGTCTGCTATTTAATATAACATGTTGTTTTTCCCCTAGTGCCCCCTTTTCAGTGACATACACATGTACAGGGCAAAGTTGTTGCCATATCTAAAAAGAATATGGCTGGTGCTGTCATTCCAGTTCTTCAACATGGAGGACGCAGTGAATAGAGGGAGGGGTGGGTGTTGCCAGATCTCTCACGAAAATTAAGTCCTCGTGAAGCTAAAAGCGAGCCGTTTACGCAAATGCGGCATTGTTACTTCATACATGACATGTAAATGGGTTTTATGTATAGGTAATTGATCTTGATGGTAGAATATCTGCCAGCTGTAGTGGTATTTTTATGGATAATCGGATACAAACCTTTATTTATCCATGTAGTTTTTTTAATGCGGATATGGCAACACCAATGCGCGTTCACATGATTTTAACAGCTTACGTCACAATCTTTTTTCCCCCGTTTCCTTAGCAACAATGCATTACATTTTTTAAAATATCCGTACGTGTTTATGCGGGTGAAGCTAAAGCAGATATGTTTTCCCTCAGTAAATCTACAGAATGGGTAAGGAAAAGATTCATATCAACATCGTGGTCATTGGCCACGTCGATTCTGGCAAGTCCACCACCACCGGACACTTGATCTACAAATGTGGAGGCATCGATAAGAGAACCATCGAGAAGTTCGAAAAAGAAGCCGCTGAGGTACGTCACTACAGCTGATGATGACTAATGGATATTTATGACGAGTGTATTCTAGGCGGGTCTTCTTTCTGCATGTGCTGTGAGCGACATCTAGAGTTCAGTTTGAGTAGATACATAAGCCATAACCCGTTTTTACAGTCTATGGTCATAACCTTGGAATTGTAAGGTTCTGTCAGACACTTTTCATGAGCTAAATTCGGCTTCACACATTCTTATGCTGGATTTGGATGTTTAGTTTTGTTTCTTTAGACAAAGTTGTGTACATATTGGGATTTAAAAAGTTGATAGCCAAATATTTTTAGCTTCATGAAAGGTAAAAAACAACAACAATAATCTATCAAAAGCACTACAGTTTTGTAAAGTTATAATATAGTGAACTGATATTAATTAAATAGTCTTATTAAAGGGTCAGTTTATACAAAATATTAATGCTCACCCACTACTTGTTTCAAATCAAATCAGTTTCTTTTCTTTTTTTTTGTTTATTGCAAAAAAATGTACTTTGAATATCTATCTATCTATCTATCTATCTATCTATCTATCTATCTATCTATCTATCTATCTATCTATCTATCTATCTATCTATCTATCTATCTATCTATCTATCTATCTATCTATCTATCTATCTATCTATCTCCACTACCTGACAAAAGTCATGTCGTTGATCCCAGTTGTAAGAGCAACGAATAATAACTTGACTTCTAGTTGATCATTTGTAAAAGTGGCAGACAGTATTTTTCCAATGAACCATCTGTTGAGCTGCACCCCAATCATCACAAATACTGCAGAAGACCTACTGGAACCTGTAATTCTTATAGAAATCAGTCAAGTTTGGTGAAGGAAAAAAATCATGGTTTGGGGTTACATTCAGTATGGGGGTGTGCGAGATATCTGCAGAGTGGATGGCAACATCAACAGCCTGAGGTATCAAGACAATTGTGCTGCCCATTACATTACAAACCACAGCAGGAGAGGGCAGATTCTCCAGCAGGATAGCGCTCCTTCTCATACTTCAGCCTCCACATCAAAGCTACTAAGAGCAAAGAAGGTCAAGGTAACCCAGCATTGGCCAGCCCAGTCACCAGAGATGAACATTATTGAGCGTGTCTGGGATAAGATTAAGGAGGCATTGAAGATGAATCCAAAGAATCTTGATGAACTCTGGGAGTCCTGCAGGAACGCTTTCTTTGCCATTCCAGATGACTTTATTAATCAGTGATTTGAGTCATTGCAGAGATGTATGGATGCAGTCCTCCAAGCTCATGATGGAGTCAGACACAATATTCATTCTGTTTCTACCGCACCATGACTTTATACTGGACATTATTTCTGTTCAGTGATGAGACTTTTGTCTAAGCAAAGTCAGACCTTACTGTCCTAATTAAATAATTAAAAGTCAAGGCATGATCATTTTATTTTGGTGAAATAAGCATCATCTAGAGGCTTTTGCTTTTCATATAAGCCACTCCTGATGCCAAATGATCAACTAGAAGTCCAGTTATTATTTGCTGTTCCTTTAACTTAGATAGGTGACACCACTTTTGTCAGGTAGTGTTTCTATCTATCTATCTATCTATCGCTTTGTCTGTCTGTCTGTCTGTCTGTCTGTATTATTAATCTAGCATTCAATCCATTGTTCTGTTGTTCTATCACTCTGTCATACTGTCTGTTGTTCATTCTATCTACTTTTTGATTGTTTGTTCTATTTTTCTATCATTCTATGCTGTCATTCTATCTATCGTTCGTTTGTTCCGTCTTTTATTCTATCTATCATTCTTTTTTTCTATCTATTATTCTATCTTTCTATCGTTCTATCTATCTTTCTATCCTGTCATTCTATCTGTGGTTATTTTGTTCTATTATTCTATCCTTTTATCGTTCTACCTATTGTTCTATCCTGTCATTCTATCTGTTGTTCTATCTATTATTCCATCTATCTTTCTGTCATTCTATCTATCGTTCCATCTTTCTCGCCTGTCGTTCTATCTATTGTTCTTTTGTTCTGTTATTCCCTCTTATCTTTTTATCATTCTATCTATCTTTATATCATTCTATCTATCTATATATATACTGTCATTCTATTTACCATTCTTTTGTTCTATCTATTATTCT